GTCAGACGGCCGCCGCCAGGTGACCGGATACCGCGGGATGATGGGCCAGGTGGCCACGGACCCTGGTCTGTTAGGCCGGGCAGAGCCAGACGGCCGCCGCCAGGTGACCGGATGCCGCGGGATGGTGGGGCGGGGTGGGCACGGACCCTGGTCTGTCGGGCCGGGCAGAGCCAGACGGCCGCCGCCAGGTGACCGGGTACCGCGGGATGGCAGGGCGGGGTGGGCACGGACCCTGGTCTGTCGGGCCGGGCAGAGTCAGACGGCCGCCGCCAGGTGACCGGATACCGCGGGATGGTGGGCCAGGTGGCCACGGACCCTGGCCTGTCGGGCCGGACCGGGCGGAGCCAGACGGCCGCCGCCAGGTGACCGGATACCGCGGGACGGTGGGGCGGGGCGGCCACGGACCCTGGTCTGTCGGGCCAGGCAGTCAGACGGCCACCGCCAGGTGACCGGGTACCGCGGGATGGCAGGGCGGGGTGGTCACGGACCCTGGTCTGTCGGGCGGGGTCGGGCCGAGCCAGACAGCTGCTCAGGGTGAGTTTCAAAGGCTAGTCCTCCGGCAGAGAAATCACCCAGAACGATTGAGGTCCTCAGGTCCGGGAACATTCCTTATGCATACGAATGAAGCGGCTGAATCACCCAGTGCAAGTCCACAGGGACTTGAAGAGGAGATGGTATGGATTTCCGTTCGAAGCTGTTCGCCACTCGAGGCTTAGAAGTAGCTCCCATATCACTCCAGAGCTCTGCCAGGTCTCTTCCCCTCTTTGATGTTCTTTTGAGGATATGCACCGTCGCCCGTTAAAGACAGTGCCTCCTACATGCTCCCAACCTCTGCCCATGAGGCAGCGTAAAGCCACTAAATCACACGCTATCTGACGTCGCGCGTCCTCGGCCCACTGCACGACGCCATCCGGCCAGCGGGCAGTCCGTCACTCCACGACTTCTACCCCGCCCGTCGCGTCCGCTGACGGCGGGGCACCCGACTGGGCGGGGCCCGGGGGGCGACAGCGACGCCGACAGGCCGTGCGTGACGTCACCTCTCCTCAACAGCAGCAGTCACCGCACGGCGACATCGGGTGACGTCACTCGGCGGCGGCGGTCGCTGCCAACTGCGGGCCGCCAGGGGCCGCCGCAGAACTGGGTGAAGATGGCGGCCCGCCCGCGGCGCGGCGGTCCGGCCCGGGCGGGACACGGGTCAGCGACGCGGCGCCGTCGGTCCCACGTCCGCCGGCGCCGGTCACACGGACGCACGTGCCTCTAAACGCCACACTCAGAGCGTGATTATGCTTGTTTGAAGACGGATGACAGACCAACTCACGGAGATGGTCTGCAAATCAGCTCAAATGGCCGTGACGTAAATCGTGCCGCGACAAACGGAACGCCGCGTTATAAGGATTACAATCATTGTTTGAGGAATGCCTAATGCTCTACGGAAACGTCATGCAAATGAGCCCAAAGGGTATGGGGCCTTTCTCTCGGAACTTCCGCGCAGCTCCCCACTAATGCCCTGAGTTCCGCCGGTCAGTCCCGTCGCGGTCCGGTGGCCACGCGCAGAGCAGACTGCTGAAGTTTTCGTCTAATCCGGTGCTTGTAATGCATCAGCGCGTCCGGGCGAGACCACTCCGCGTTCCGACACTCCAGACTGCCGAGCGCTCCTGCCCACTCCCACCTGGCACACACTCCAGGCGGGCCACGGCGGCCGACACGTGATGCTGTTCCGCAGGACACGATAGCCATGCGGCACAGTGCACGCTCCGACAGGCTCAGCGGCTGGGGCGATGCGACAACGGCATTTCCCTCGCCAAGACTGAACAGGTCCAAACGTGAGTTGCGAGGTTGTGCGGAAGACAACGAGCACGCGGCGCGAGATTTCAAATCGCGCGTGGTGCGCGCATATCGCGCCATACGGCAGGCGTGCGCCTGACACGCAATTTGAGGGCCTCGCACGCCTTGGCGATAACTGTCGCACCACCTGACCTGGACGCGTATAGACCCGTCCAGTCTGTGTCATCATCGTCCTATCTACGTTGGTCGATGGGACGCTGTCGTGACTGGTGATAGGCAAGCAAAAGCTTCGACGCTTATGGGACGATCAGGGCCTCATCTATCAGCCGTCGATCCGCTAGAGCGGGCAAGGCCAGCAACTTCGGTGGAAGTTGCTGACAGGCCCGCTGTATATTGAACACGATGGACAGGCCCCTGGCAATGACGTCACGCCCAGGCGCTGATCTCGCACAAATTACATGGCAGCGATGTGAGCCTCAACTACCAGCGATGCACGCCAGGCCCGCACATGCCGGACAACAGCACAAGCGTTGGAGAAACGTCTGCAAATGGTGTCATTAGAAGCGAAACACCGTCAACACATCGCACTCGTCACGCGCAACAGCACCACGTCTCCACGCACAGCACGGGCGCCACGGAGGATGCGCGCCGCATTGGACCTGACCGACACAGCTCATGAGCCGGGGATGCTGAGCACCTCGCAATGCGCCGGGAGGCCGCTCCTGGGACCGGTCGTGGCCAGACCGGGGCAGGGCGGGGCGCGTGCCAGCGGCGGGCGGCCGCGATCGCCGCCCCGGGGGCCGCCAACACCAACACGGCGCACCGGCGGGACACGGCCCGGCCGCCCATCACGGCAGCCGCCGCCGCGATGGGGCTTAATGTCCGGCAGGATCAGCCGCCCGGTGTCGCTCGGCGGGGCGGCCGGCAGCGGCGCCGCCATCACAGCTGTCATCGCCACCATCGAACACGGGGGGGGGGGGGGTGACGTCACGTCTGAGGTCTGAAGGACGGGGGAGGGGAGGCATGCGACCGCGACAGCCAGCGCTGGCACCGGCGTCAGCGCCACGTGAGGCCGACACCCTGAGAGATGGCCGGGCACCGGGTGCGCCTCAACGAGCGTAGCGGGACTCAGTCAATTTGTGCCGCAAGCGACCGGTCAGGATTAAGCGACGAAGCAGCTCGCATGGAAACAATGTTGATCATTTTCGGAAGGCAAGCCGACAAGATTCTGAAGCGTCGATGACCACCGACACGCCGAAAGCCTCATCGAAGGAGTCAACGCTTGACAGGCGAACGTGACGGAATATCGCTTCACGCAGACAGCGGCAGGGACCAACCCGTCGCAATACCGTCCCTGTGGAGATCAGCAGTGAACCAGCTCCTCCCCGTCCTGCCACAAGCCCCCTCCTGTCCTGCGCACGCGTCGTGAGACAAGACCCCGTGTGAGTTGTCACGCACAGGCGGCTGCGGTGGGCCGGCTTGCAGTGGTGTGCCGGCACGCATGCCGGCAATAATCAACGCATTTCCTTTAGCTTACTCCGCTCGCTACGGCCGCGGCCATTAACGCCGCAATCCATCACGCTGATTGCAGAGGGCGAGCCAAAACACAGCCGCTCCCGAGCCGCCGGACCGTGCAGCCTGGCACGGACACTGATGATGTTTGGGGTGCTCGTCGCTCGCCGGCCAGCCGAGGGTCGCGCACGCCCGCTGAACCTCGGAGGCGACGACGGACGACTGTTTGATGCAGGCTGTCGACGAATGGTGCGGCCGACACGTGATAGCATAAACAGCGGACACGTCAGCGCCACGTCCGATGAATGGGTCACCGTGCACACCGGCGGCGCCCGCAGAGACCGGGAGCACGGGACCGCGCAGCGAACCCGGGGATGAGTGTTAAAACCGCGACCTGGTATGCGGACACAAGATGAAAGCGGTGAGGCCGAAAAATAACATTTTGACTTGCGTGAAAACGAGCATGTCCATCGCAGCGGCAGATTTATTCCGAGCGGTGTCCTGTCCCAACGGGAGCAGTGTTGAAAGACGCAAAAGAAAGGGTAAGCGAACTATCTAATTCCGGCGAAAAGCAAAACAAGCCGTTGGCGCCTGACAAACGGGCGCTGTCCACCACACTTTATAGGATCACGCAATAACAACATTAGACCTGCTGGCCGCGGGGACACCGCAGGAAGCCCGCAGCCGGGCGGGACGCCCGACAACACCCGCCATCTAGCTCTGCGGACACACACACACACACACACACACACACACACACACACACACACACACACACACACACGCACGCACGCACGCACGCACGCGCGCACGCACGCACGCACGCACGCACGCACGCACGCACGCACGCACGCACGCACAAAATCACCAGGAGCACCACCAGCGGCGCATCTATCGGGGTGAGACCCGTCCGACAGCGTTCAAAGTGCTCTACCGCCGTGGCTGATCACGCCGGGAAGGGGTCCACGCCGGAGGGGCAGCAGCCCGTCCCGCCGTCGTCCAATGCGCGCCACGGCGTGTGATGACGGAGCGGGCGGCGCCCCGACTGCCCAGAGGAGTCCCGGCCGGTGCGACAGCACGCACTCCTCGCCCACGGTATGTCCTCGCCAAAACAGGGACGTCGTCCCTCGGAAGCTCAAGGGACGCTGCCCTGGGTTGACCGATGCCAGAGTACCCGAAAAGGCTGCCTTACGCTTGGTTTGAAACCACTGTGTTCTACTCATGGGGCAAAATCGGAACACTTTTGTAGATTGTTCCAAGGATGAAATAATTCTTCGGCCTGGCATCCTCATCAGGTGAGTTAGCACGCATAGATGCTAACAGTGCACACGCGCCAGTGCGTACACATGCATACAGCAGTGTATGTTAGTTTGTACACTGTATGCGCAAAGTATACATGCTCACACACCAGACGACGACGGCAGTCCGAACAGTGGTCCCATCCGCAATACTAATGCCACGTCCCAATCCTTCCGTAAAACTGTAACATGTTTGTTCCTGCAAGTTCTTCTTGATTTCGAATCTTCGCGAGCCTTGCGTCTGCGGGTCTCACTGACGCTAGAGAGCAGAGGGGGGGGGGGGGGGGGGGCTGGGCTGCGAGTCGAGAAGGGAACTCCAGCCTCCCCACCTGTGCTACCCTGAACATCACTGTCTCGCGCCTGCACGGACAGCCCCAGCCCGAACCCTGCCGCGTCGCCACTCACCTGACTCGGGCATGTCGTATTCGAGCTCGAGCTGGACGCGCGGCTCGGTGCCGCGTAGCAGCTCCAGCACCTCGTGGTGCAGCAGGCCCTCGGTGGAGCTGCCGTTGACGGCGCGGATCCGGTCCCCCACGCAGACGGCGTCGGAGCGCTGCGCCGCGCCGCCCGGCGTCAGGGCGGCCACCTGGGGCCGCGAGCCACGGTCGGCGCCGCCTGCCGGGTCGGGTCAGGTCAGGTCAGGCCTGGAGATCAGCGCACGGGGCCAAGTGCCGCAGTCGGCCAGCCCACCGAGCCGGTCTGGGTCAGATCAGGTCAGGCCTGGAGAACAGTACACCGGGCCAAGTGCCGCAGTCTGCCTGCCCACCGAGCCGGTCTGGATCAGGTCAGGTCAGGTCTGGAGAACAGTACACCGGGCCAAGTGCCGCAGTCGGCCTGCCCACCGAGCCGGTCTGGGTCGGGTCAGGTCAGGCTTAGAGAACAGTACACTGGGCCAAGTGCCGCAGTCGGCCTGCCCACCGGGCCGGTCCTGGTCAGGTCAAGTCAGGTCTGGAGACCAGCACGCAGAGCCAAGTGCCGCAGTTGGCCTGCCCACCGAGCCGGTCTGGGCGAGGTCGTTGAGCTGCGTATCGGCTGCCTGCGGCGGGCGGTCAGGGCTGTTGTGTAACCCCAGGTCAGGTCCCATTCAAACCGCAAAGCCCATTTCCAAGGGCATACAGCAACGCCCGCACATACAGATCAGGTTAAGGCACGATACACGCGTTAGTTCCGGTGAGTGATCATGCCACCAAAATCTGGCTCGCCTGGTCACCGCCGATAAAGCACGCCGAGCTCTGACAGCAGCGGAGGCTAAACCCACAGCTCTCTGCCCACGAAACGTCACCTAACCGCAGTATGTCATTCATCACCTGACATCACCCCACGCGCAGATCAGCACCGATTGCCAGCATAAATAGCGCATCAATCAGACGCGGCCAGTTTCCAGGCCGGACCGCGTCTCTCACGCCACACGGCCGGGCCGGGCGGGCCTCCACGCCGGCGGCGGCGTCCGGCCCGGAGGGGCGGGACCGGCCATACCGCCGGCTGCCGGCAGCGGCTCTATTTCGGGCCGGCACAGAGCGCTTAATGAGCGTGTGGACCGTCGCTTATTCGGGGCGATACCCCAGGGGGGGGGGGGGGGGGGGGTTATCGTAGCACACGCCCAGCTAGGCAAACAGATGTCCGGCTAGAGGGGCCGAGAAGACGGACGGAGGGCCGCGAGGGGACATGCCGCTGGGCCGAGAGGGGCCGCCACACGGGGCTGCCCTCTGCTGAGCGGCCGGACGAGGTACGCGCAAGCAGCGGCGTACGTGCCGAGCGGCTCTCGACGATTCACGCCAGTCATCGCGCCGAACGCTAACTCCCTCCGCACACACACAACATGCACCGCCGCCTCAGGGACGGCCTGCAGGGGGTCTGCAGTGTCAGACATTCCGCCCTGGGATGAGCCGCATCGCCGTAAGCTGCGCCGAACCGCGCCGCGACCGCCTCGCCGCTGCTCTCCCCGTCGTGACCACGCTCAGGAGGCCGCCGCCGGCCAGCGCACCGGCGGCGCTCGGCGGGCCAGGCTTGGCAGCCGGGCTTCCAGCGTCGCGGCGTCACCTCGGCGGAATTTCCTTCCCGTCAGCGGCGCCGCCCGCCGCGTGAGCGGTGGCCCCACACCGGCAGAGCCGGCGGCGGCCGCGGTTCGCTCACTTAAGGCGCGGCGGGGCGCTGGGCTACCCGCCCGGCTCGAGTGTTTACGTCGAGGGCTACAACTTGCTCCGCACTCGAGACCACTGCTGGCTCCGAGCACAAGGCGCATTGACGGATGACGTCACAGATGACGAAACATCCCCAGAATACGCATGAGATCAGCGTCTGAAATAAACGCAGCTCGCTGGTCTCGTTGTGGTCACGTCACACAAAACTTCCGTATGGAGTGACATCTCCACAGGATCTCGGCCGGACCGTGCTGCGATGCAGTCAGCGCAGTTTAGCCCCCCCCCCCCCCCCCCCCCCGGACACGACGGCCACCTGTACTATGTGGTTTTCTTACTGCCAGGGGAAATACGAACGATTCTCTAAGGACCCAACCCGATGTGAGTGCCTTAAGCTACACTCAACTTTCGCTTTCCACTCAAGGCTGGGCAAAACTGGCGTAACGGAGACCGCGTCGGGAAGCCGTCAGGACTGCGTGGCTGTACCTCGGGAGAGACGCTGACTGAGTTTACGGTCGACTCGACAACCAAAGCCAGGCGCGCTTTCTTGGAAAAGAAAATGGCGGCGAGTAGCGAACGGACCACAAGCACAATCAAGAAGCACGTCGGGCAGGTGGATAGAAGGCTGACTGGTCCACCAGCAGCAGCCCCAGCGTGCCCCAGCACCGACCTGTGAAGATCCTGACGACGGAGCCACAGCGGAGCCGCGTCACCACACAGTCCATCGCCTCTGTGCTCGCGCGGCGGCGCCGGCCGCACCGTAGTCGCGTCCTCCCCGCTGCACCGCCCGGAGCAGCGGCACACACCGGCCGTGACGCCCGCGGCCGCGGCGCGCGGGCCGGCACGCCGCCAGACCGGCTCTGCGGCCGGGGGGCAGCAGCCACGGCACTCGGCTTGGCCCCGCTCACCTGGCCGGCCGGGCCGCACTGGCCAGACGGGCTGGCCGAGCACCGCAGCCGCAGCCGCAACTAAGCCGTGAAACACTCTGGCAGCGGCGGCGGCGGCCGGCGCCCACGGCCCGGTACAATCGGCCCGCTGCCGAGCGCAAACAGATAGCGGCCGGGTGACTGACGGCTGCCCGCCCCCCACCACCGTCGGCACCGACGGCCGACCGTCGGCAGCGGCGGGCCGCCGCCGGCCGCTGTCGGGGCCGCCGGAAGCGGTTCGGACGTTCGCGGTGCGGGGCCATCGGTCTCGGCACGGGGAGGGCTTAGTTCGGAGCTGACCGTCCGAAAGGCGCCACAGTTCGCCGAATCGATGTATCCCAAATATCATGCGAGGACAGGCGACTTCATGCCGCGAGGATTTCACGGCGGGGCTGAGGGCAGACGCTAGCCGGAGAGGGCAGCATCGTAATCCCGGCTTCAGGGACTGGTCAGAGGGTCGTAGGCGACAACGCCAGCATGATGAGGAAGGACGCGATCAGCATCAAAAAACGCTGTGTCGGAACGCCACGCCACGAACTGCGTCTGATCGGCTCTCCTGCAACAGGCACCGAGTACCAGCACCGTACCGGTTCTCTCCTTCACGCCAGGAATGCTAAGCATCCCGAAAAACAGCCTCAGACCCCACGGCCGGGCGGGTATGCCAGGACGTCGGAGCCCACCACCATTCTGCTCCGGTGGCCGTGCTCAGGCACGCCGTCGCCGCCGGCGTGCTGCAGCTCCGCCTCGACACCGTGCAGCGGTCAGACATACCGGCCGAGGCAGCGGCCCGCCCCCGCTTCACCGCCGCTGACACCACCTGCCGGCGTGCTGCAGCTCCGCCTCGACACCGTGCAGCGGTCAGAGGCAGCCGGCCGAGGCAGCGGCCCGTCCCCGCGTCACCGCCGCTGACACCACCCGCCGGCATGCTGCAGCTCGGCCTCGACACCGTGCAGCGGTCAGACGTGCCGGCTGAGGCAGCGGCCCGCCCCCGCGTCACCGCCGCTGACACCACCCGCCGGCATGCTGCAGCTCGGCCTCGACACTGTGCAGCGGTCAGACATGCCGGCCGAGGCAGCGGCCCGTCCCCGCGTCACCGCCGCTGACACCACCCGCCGGCGTGCTGCAGCTCGGCCTCGACACCGTGCAGCGGTCAGACGTGCCGGCCGAGGTAGCGGCCCGCCCACGTGTCACCGCCGCTGACACCCCCCGCCGGCGTGCTGCAGCTCCGTCTCGACGCCGTGCAGCGGTCAGACACGCCGGCCGAGGCAGCGGCCCGCCCCCTCGTCACCGCCGCTGACACCACCCGTCGACGTGCGCCGCCGGCTGACGGTCGGCAGCTGGCCCGAGCGGCGCCGACCGGCCGACGACGGTCGAGCCGGGTCGTCCGCCGTCAGCTCGCCGGGCCCGGCGGCGGCTCGGGCCGCGGCGCTCCGTCTTCCCGGAGCCGTCGAGCCACCCCGCGTGACGGAGGCCACTTCATTTCCCGGGGGGCGACGCTCCCGGCGCTGGCACGCGCTCAAAGAGCGCGCCGGCCATCTCTCAGTGCTGGCAGGCCGGCACAAAAAGCGCGCTGTTTTGTGGCGCGCGCCCGGCGGCCGGTCCGCGGCCGTTCGAGCCGTCTCTGCCGCTGATCCCGCCGGAGAGTATGCCGCCAGACTGAGGGTACAGCGCAGGTGCAACGCCCAGCTGACGTTGCGAGAGGTCGCCGGCAACGGCAAACACGCTCGGCGTGGACACCACTGAAGCGAGCAGCCGCTAATCGGCGAGCCTGCCGCCGCTGCACCGGCACGCTGGGACACTGGGACCGCCAGATACACCGCGCGGACCCAGGCGGCCCGGCCTGTCCGGCGGGCAGCGCGTGCCTGCGGGCATACCTCCGCGCTACGGCCGTCACCAGGCGCCGCGTCCGCCTCGCCGGCGATCCGTCCGTCGGCGCCGCGTGACGCGGCTGCGTCAGACTGCGCCGGTGGCAGGGGCCGCGCAGCGGGCGTCTTCCGCGCGATCGGCGACGCCGCCAGCGCCGCGACAAGGCGGCGTCGTCACAAAGAGTGCCGGCCAACCCCGGCTGATGAGGCAACCGGCTGCCGACGCGCGAGGCGCTGTGAGAACGGGGAGCGCCCGGCCGCGTCACGGCAGCGGGCGGCAGCCTGCCGAGGAGCAGCCGGGGACTGGAGTCGGGGTCAACAACTCGGCCGCACGGCGCGAGCGGCAGAACCGGCCTAACGCGGCGGCGTATTGGGCCTTCAGCGCACAAGCATCTCGTCTCGCTCTTCGGTCCATCTAACGCCGAGCAGCGACGTAGAGGAATGGCGATAGCGGGGCAGGAGGCGATCCCGTTTACGTTCCTTTGTGACGCCTCTCTCTCTCCTGCCTGACGGACGTCATGTGCCGTTACGGCGGCGCCGGCGAAGCGAGCGGGGAGGACGAGGAGGCGCTGTTTGTTTTCCGAGCGGGGCCGCGCCGTCAGCGGCCGCCGCCGCTCCGTCCGGTTATCCGGCCTGTTGACACCAAACAGCTCGAGTGACGACCGCCGC